AATAGTAGTTAGTGAGCAATGGTGCCTCAGGCAAAGCTTCACTTGGGCCTAACACATTTACCTTTGATCTTATGGTTAAAAACAAATTTGTGTGTATAGGATGGTGATAATTGTGACCTTGAGACTCTAGTGTTGGCTAAACAATCATCGAGTGGTTTCTCGGAACCATTTGTGTTGCTCAAATCTTAGCTAAGGTTGTTGTGGGCCCTCGACTCTATTTATTTAGCAATCCTATAGCTTGTATGGTGAGGTATTGATTTGCAAGTCCAAGTCCCGTGCCAATAAGTCTAGAACTTGTCTTGAATGTTTGTCTAGGCGAAATCCTAAGTGAAGCTCGACTTGATAAGTGATTATAGGCTCTCCTTGATCCTAATTGAGACTTGAAAACATCCATAGCCTACCAATGATGATATCCCTAGTCAACCCCGTTGATCCATAGCCCTTATTCTTTCAATAACCATGATACAAGCCTTTATCCATTTTGAAATGATCCTCTCTTGACACCCTATCTTTCCTTAGCACAAGGCAAAAGCATAAGTTTGGGGGGAAAGACGAGGAATGCAAAAGTGATAAAAGGTACAAAATTAAGAAAAGGAAAGGCAAAAAGAAAAAGAAAGAAAATCCAAAAAGTCAAAAAGAAAGTCAACAATGTGGACGAAATGAAGGGATTCAATAAAAGCAAAAGATAAAATACATGTAAAGATTAGAAAGGAGAAAAAAGATTGAAATGAGCAAGAGAGAGTGACAGTGTGTCTCTCTAGCCCCTAAAGAAAAGTAAACGACTCAAAGAGTCAATAAAATGTGTGCCAAAATGAAGCAAATGAAGTGCTTAAAGGTAGATGAAATCTTCTTAGACTAATATATCCTACCCTGAACCAAAAGCCTTCATTACATTCCCACAAAATCCCTATATGATCTTGAGTCGGGTGAGCTTACATTAGTGATGACTCACATAAGGGGCAAGCTTATGGTAATTAGAGCTGGACTTATGACCTTCTTTTGAGAGAGATGAGTGTATTTTCCACAATTCTCATTCTGAGTGCTACAATCTAAAAGTGAGGTTTGCTTATGGAGAGTTGAGGAGTATGAGTTTGGGTTCTACAACGACCAATGTAACAGAAAGAGTTTCCTTGATGAGTTGAGTCAACTCTTGATGTTTTTTTGTCGCACTATAGCCATGGTGCTAAAAGATTGTGTATTGTTGATAATGCATTTGAGTTGAGGGTAATTGTTAGTCCCAATTGATTCTTGATGAGGTTACTTTAGGATAGCTAAATTTTCCTTTCTTTTATCTTTACAAGGTGGGAATTACTTTGTTTGCTTGAGGACAAGCAAAAGCTTAAGTTTGGGGGAGTTGATAACTAGGGATTCTAGTCTATTTTATGCTCCTTTTGCTTGAGTTTTGGATTAGAAGTGTGTACAAGTATTCCCAAAAGCTAACTTGTTGTGCTTGTTTGCAGTGTTGGGTCAAAAAGAGACAATGATGTCATAACCAACTCAAAAAAGAGTGAAACCTGCACAAGTTCAAAGCCAAGTCAACTGAGAGCTAGAGCGAAAAACCAACTGCAGACGGGGAGGACCTACCGCGACAGTGGTCCTTTTATCGCGGTCCGCGATGGAAAGATTCATAGAGATGCAATTATGGACTTCTCAAGTTACCACTGACCATAGTGCTTTTATGCAGCAGCGGTGCCTCCACCGCGACATCGGTCCTTTTACCGTGGTCCACGGAGAAGAGATTCAGAGAGTCCAAAGTTAAAACTAGAAGACCACAGTTTGCAGTTGATTTTATGCAGCCACGGTAGCCTCACCACTGCAATGGTCCATTTTTCTCTATCAGCAGTACCTCCGTCAGGGGCATTTTTGTTCGAAAAATTTAGCTGTGTATAAATACTTCTTTTTCAGATTTTTTAGGTCATCTTATCTTAGTTGAGCACGTGAACGCCGTATTTTACCTATTTTGAGTAATTTTGTAGCTTGTTTAGCAATTAATCTTAGAATCTTATCTTGTAGTTACATTTTATGGGTTATTCTTCATCTCCATTTATGATTTCTTCTTCAATTAAACCCATTAGTTAGGGTTGTGGCTCAATCATAGTGTGGGTATTTAATGGGTCTCTTATTTTAGGGCTTAGATGTTTATGGGTGATTGATATTTGTCTTGATTTATGCTTTCTATGTTGAATTAGTGGTTGCAAACACTAATTTGTGCCTTTTTGACTTAGTCTCTTCTTGAGAAAGAGATCTTAAGTCTAGGAAATTCAGGCCAACAATAAATTGGGGTGTATTCAAGAGATTGATAGCCCCAATTAAAGGGTTAAACCTAGAGATAGTAATACCCGACTTAAGACAATATTGCTTGCACAAATTGAACACCCAATTGGGCTTGAGAAAGCCAATTAGGACAAAGTCACTCTTACTACCGAGAGGTGTAAAGTGAGTAGCTTCGTGCATTGGCTATATCACGATCCCAAATATAACATTATTGCCCTAAGTTTTAGATCCCATTAGATACTCGCCTAAGAGTAAGTCACTTTCTTAGTGCCTTTTTACCCATTTAGAAAGCCCTACAAAAATATCCACTTAGTTTAATTTCGTGCATTATTAGTATTAAAATTAGAAGTAACAAACAAACAAGTATGATTGGAAGTGCAATCAAGAGCAATACACACTGCTAGATTAGATAGGAATCCAACTCCAAACATTATATTAGCTCCATGTGGATTCGATCCCGACCTTCTCGAGTAAAAGTTACATCGACCGCTCTTACCACTCTATAGTGGTATAGGGTTGGACCCGATCAATCCCCCCGACCGAAGAAATATACCAAGGGGGGATCTGTACGATTCGTCAAGGGTGGTGCATCATCTACCGTCAAAGGGGGCGGAGTTAAGCATGTCGGGGACGATGGTTCAGGTTCGGACATCGACCGGGAAGATGTGCGAGCCTATTTGGAGCAGCACTCACGTAGAGGTAAGGATAGAAGGCCCTGATTGACACATAGTCATCCCTGTAGACTATGATTTGTTGGCGAGAGTGAGACACTTATGGCAATGAGCGATGTAGAGTTATCACAAAGCGTTTCCGGCATGGTTCTGTAGGTAAATGTTTCTCTCTTTTATTTTCGTTTTTGGATTTTTTTTATGTCCTTAACCCGCTCTTTGTTTTGAACTTGCTTTGCATACTAGACCCTCCTCATGGAGATCGAGCGTGAACGTAGGGATAGGCGGAGGACGGCCATTTTTGGGAAGGTGTCCTTCAAATATAAGGAGTACCGCACCGAACATCATGAGTTGGCCGATCTATTCACTCAAGACATCGACTTTCAGCTATTCCGTGACGGGCTCAATCAAAAGTCGGAGGATGTGCGATGGCAGTTGCAACCCTCTACCTCTCATGCTTCAGCCGACCCTGTTGTGCCACAAGATTTATATGAGATGTGGGTTCATGCCGAAGCTCAACTTAACGTGTATAAGTCTCTTCGTGCCGATGAGAAAGTATCTGAGGTAGAATTTTGAGAGGTGCATATTAAAGAACGTGCCGCTCGTGAGGCATGTGGTTATGACCCCGGCACGCCTGGTGGAGACGATGTCGATTATGACGATGCGAACAAGCTCGCCTTCGATTCTTGGTACAATGAGGAGTATGCTACGGGGGGTGATGTGGCGTAGGACTTGGTTGTATTTATTTTCGTTTTGCTATTTTTGTGGGGACATCCCTGAGCCCTTTGTAAAAAACTTTTGTAATGTATCAGCTGTAATGGAGCAGTTACTTTTTATTGTGTACCTCTGAATCTTTTTCTTGTTGTGTGTTTTTTTGTTGCGGGGGTGCCCTGGGCTACCCAGCCTTGCATGATATTTTATCATAGTCAGGACGATGTCGGATGTCAAGTAATTTATGTGTTATCGGCTATTGAATGATTGGAGCAAGGTCGAGCTCTTACCTTTAGCGACGGCCTTTGCCGAAGGGTGTTATTACGAGTAAATGTCAAAATATTGACCCGTCGTGGTTCGAGCGGTATCGAACTCTTTTCTATGGCGATGGACTTAGCCGTAGGGGTGTTATTTTGAGTTGATGTCAAAATGTTAACTCGTCGTGGTTCGAGTGGTATCGAACTCTTTTCCTTGGTGACGGCCTTAGCCGTAGGGGTGTCGAAATCCTTATTGCAAAATATCAATGGAGGTTTTATTTCATTTGCTGGTGGTCGGTTTCATTCATACATTGGAAATACATGTCGATTTTGTTCATATATTAAAAGTTCTTCATACATTGGAGATATATGTCGATTCCGTTCATACATTGAAGTTTCATTGTATCTAGTCCCTTCATTGCTCGGCCTGGGGATGTCGTCGGTAGGCCGGGCGATGAACTAGGCCCTGAACTTCGAGACATCACCCTCATCGCCTTGTTAACCCCCCCGAGAAAGCCAGATTGGGACAAAACCCAGGTAAGGGAAAAAGAGTACGACTTAGGTGGTGTCGTTTTTCAGAATTGGAAGTATTTGAGATGGGCGACATTTCAGTTGTTTTGTAGTAGTTTTTCTTCTATTGTTTCTAGTTGGAATGCTCCTTTGCTTGTTGTTGCTGTGATTTTGTATGGCCCGTCCTAGCTGGTTCCTAATTTTCCTTCATTTGGGTCTTTAGTAGCTTGTGTTTTGGCCTTGAGGACGTAGTCTCCGACTCTGAGTGGTCGTATTTTGGCCATCCTGTTGTAGTACCTTTCTGCTTGTTGTTTTTGGGCTATCATCCTTACGTGAGCCATATCACTCCGTTCTTCCACTTCGTCCAGGTCTTGTATTCTATTTTCGTCGTTGTTCGGTCCACTCTCATTGGCGTATCTCAATCTAGATTTTCCGACCTCAATGGGTATAATGGCATCGGTCCCGTAGACTAATGAATATGGCATTTCACCTATGCTAGTTTTTGGTGTGGTGCAGTAGGCCCATAACACCTTTGGTAGCAGTTTCGGCCATAGCCCTTTGGCGTCCTCGAGCATTTTCTTTAGTATATTCCATATTGTTTTGTTGGAGGATTCTGCTTGACCGTTGCCGGCGGGATGATATAGTGTGGAGAGTATCTGCTTGATGCGCCATTTTTCGAAGAACTCGGTCGTCTTTTTCCCAATGAACTAAGGTCCATTATCACAACTGATTTCTTTGGGGATGTCGAAGCGTCATATGATGTTTTTCCAGATGAATGCGATGACTTACTATTTGCGTATTTGGGTGAACGCACCTGCTTCCACCCATTTGGAAAAGTAATCAGTTAAAACAAAAAGGAAGCGTATCTTACCTCGCCCTGCTGGGAGGGGTCCGACGATATCCATTCCGTATTTTATAAATGGCCATGGAGAAGTGACGGAGTGCAGGAGTTTGCCCGCTTGGTGTATCATACAGGCATACTTTTGGCATTGCTCACATTTTTTGACGTAATACGCAGCTTCTTTTTTCATGGTGGGCCAGTAGTATCCTGAACGAATAAGGCATCTAACGAGGGCTCGATTTCCTGTATGGGCACCGCAATGCCCTCGTGTACTTCTTCGAGTACACACCTTGTTTAATTTGGTCCAAGGCATTTGGCCAAAGGGCCTTCAAACGTCCTTTTGTAAAGGTTGTGATTTCTGAGGCTGTACTTGGCCGCCTGTATTCAAAGCTTTTTGGCTTCTTTTTTGTCTTGTGGGAGTGTTTCCTCCTGCAAATATGTTATGATGCGGTTGCGCCAGTCCCAAGTTAAATTTATAGAATGTACCTCGACATGGTCTATTGATGAGTGGATGAGGGTGACCATGTTTTCCTTGCTGATATTTTTGGTTGATGCGGCCAGTTTGGTGAGGCCGTCTGCTTCGATGTTTTGTGCCTGGGGTATCTGATCGAATCGGCATTCGTCGAATTCCGGTAGTAGCTTATGGATTTTTGCTTGATATTTTTGTAGCCTCTGTTCCTTCATTTGGAAAGTCCTAGTAACTTGGTTTAGAATGAGTTGAGAGTCGTAGTGGAGGATGACTCGTCGTGCACCATACTTTAGGGCCAACTTCAGTCCTGCAATTACGGCCTCATACTCGGCCTCATTGTTAGTCATTTCGGGACCATACGGATTAGCGAATCACTTTTCCTGTTGGGACTTCAAGTACGAGTCCCAATCCAGATCCCGACGTATTAGATGCGTCGTTGAAGCAGAGGACCCAGAGGTTGGGTCATCCAGGGGAGGTGCAAAGTGCTTCTTGCTCGACCTCGGGTAGTATTTCTGCACTAAAGTTAGCGACAAAATCGGCGAGTACTTGCGATTTTATTACAGTTCGTGGTTCGTATGCTATATCGTGCTCGCTCAATTATATGACCCATTTGGCCAATCTACTTGACAGTTCGGTTTTTTGTAGGATGCTCCTGAGGGGGAAAGTCGTCACCACCTTTATGGGGTGACAATGAAAATATGGTCTAAGCTTCCGTGAAGCTATGATCAATGCCAGAGCTAATTTTTCGAGGTGGGGATACCTCGTTTCAGCATCAACTAAGGTTTTACTGATTTAGTAAATCGGAGATTGCATACCTTTGTTTTTGCAGACCAAAACTGCATTTACCGCGCTTACCGCGACTTCGGAGACGGCGAGGTAGACAAGGAGGCATTCACCTAGATCTGCCTTGGCGATTAATTGCGGAAACGACAAGTATGTTTTCAATTTTTTTAGGGCGTCGACACATTCCGAATTCCACTGGAGCCCGTTGTCTTTCTTTAGCACATTGAAAAATTTATTGCACCTATCCGATGACCGTGAAATGAACCTTGATAGGGCAGCTATCCGAGCTGCCAATTTTTGTACTTGCTTTTTGCTGGTTAACGTTTCCGGTATTCCCTTGATGGCCTTAATCTGATATGGATTGACCTCGATGCCTCTTTGTGACACCAGGAAACCGAGGAATTTGCCTGAGGTTACGCCAAAGGCGCATTTTTCGGGGTTCAATTTCATACCGTACCGCCTTAATATGTCGAAGGCTTCCTTCATGTAATCAATGTGGTCTTCTTTCCTTTTTAACTTAACCAGCATGTCATCGATATAGACTTGCATTTTTTGCCGAGTTGATCTTTGAACATCTTGGTGACTAACCTCTGGTATGTCGCCCCTGCATTCTTTAGTCTGAATGGCATGACCCTATAGCAGTACGTTCCTTGGTGAGTAATGAAAGTGGTTTTCTCCTGGTCCTCTTCCTCCATGAGGAACTGGTTGTAACCCAGGTAGCCATCTAAGAAGCTTAGCAGCTCGTGTCTTGCTGTTGCGTCGATGAGCTGGTCGATGTGGGGCACTGGAAAGGAGTCTTTTGGGCATGCCTTGTTTAGGTCTGTGAAATCAACACACATCCGCCACTTTCCATTTTTCTTCTTCACCATGACCACATTGGCGACCCACTAGGGATATTTTGACTCTCGGACGGAGCCATTGGCGAGCAACTTATCAACTTTTTTGTTGATTGCGGCGTTAAACTTTCTCCTCATTTGCCGCACTAGCGGGTAGAGGGGGTCAACATTCAGTTTGTGTGTGGCGATGTCTTTCGGGATGCCTGGCATATCTGAATGGGAGAAGGCAAACAAATCAGCATTGTCAGTTAAGCATTTACGAAACTTACCTGGTTCCGAGTGATTGTGTCCGATATAAGCCTTTTTTGTGCTGTCATTATCGTCTAGTAGGACGGGATTGAGATCTTCTATGGTCGACTCGGAGGCTTCTACGATGTTGGGATCCTTGATAACGTCTGTCTGTACGTCGAGTTTGGTTCCCGATATCGCTGATTGCTATGCTTCTGCGCTCGCCCCTTTTAGTTGTTGGGTGTGTGCGCAATCCTAGGCTATGCGATAGCACTCTTGTGTGATGTGTCGTTTGCCCCAAATGCTGAATACCCCCTATGGAGTAGGAAACATGATTACTTGATAGAGAATTGACGGAACTGCTCGCATACGTGTATCCATGGGCACCCTATGATAGCGTTGTAGGTTGTATCTTGGTCAATGACGTGAAACGTTGTTTCCAGGGTGACTCCTCTAGCTAGAACGGGTAGCACTATCTCTCCAGAAGTTCGCTCGACTGCATTATTAAAACTTGTTAGTGTTATGCAACGCTGTATTATTTTATCTCTGAGTCTCATCTGTATGAGGACTCGAGGGTGGATAATACACGCGCTGCTTCCGTCATCTACCATTATTCTTTTTACATCAGTATCTGCAATACGTAAAGTGATAACAAGAGCATCATAGTGAAGGAAATACAAACCATCGGTATCTGATTTATCAAAGATGACACTATCTTCGAGGTCATCATACTGTTCATGAGTGATCGACCGTTTGAGTTTATGTGTGGTGGTGAACTTTACATGGTTGATTTCTGTGTCATCGCCTCCGCCGATGATCATCTATATAGTATGGGCGGGAGAGGGAGGTTTTGGAGGTCCCTGGTGTTGTTCGAGTCCGCAGGCAAAGTTAGCTCGTCCTTGGTCGCTTAGAAGCTTTTTTAGGTGTCCCTAATTTAACATTCTTACTACCTCCTGCCACGAACATATGCAATCTTCGGTTTTATGACCCCATTACTGGTGGAATTCGCAAAGAACATTCGCCTTTCGAGTGCTCGGGTCGAACTTCATCTTTTGCAGCCATTGTACCTTTGTGCCAAATTTCTCTAGTGTGTACACTATTTCTGAAGGAGAAATACAAAAATTGTGAGCAGATAAGAGCAGTGGCATACCTCTTTCGTTTCAATTTGGCGCGGTATGTTAAGGAGGGGCATCTGTGTGTCACAGAGGTGGGATAGATGTCCTGATGTAGGGCTGATGCCTTTCTCGGCCAAGACGGGGTCCCAACTGATCTCTTCGACCGTCATTGCAACGATCTTTCCTTGCTTCAGCTTGAACTGACGCCAGCCGTTGGATCGGACCGTTGAGGTTGTACTCATCGGCCCTTACCTCGGCGCAGTAGGCGTTGTGATTTCTTCCCAAGTGGTGGGAGGGTATTTCGTGAGCCTGCTTAACAGTTTTTTGGTCGCTCTCAACCCATTCATGCTTAATCCGTTCTGGAAGGTTGCTACTGCGATCCCTTCTAACACATTTGGAAAGCTAATTCTCACCATGTTAAACCGGGTATGAAGTCCCTGAGTCCTCGTCGTGCATCTACTTGACGACAAATATGTCGTTTACCCTGGCTTCCGCCTTTTTAGCTCATGCATGGGCGGTGATCAACTTGTCCGCCATTTCTTCGAACGTTGCTATTGACCATGCTGGTAGTTGTGAGTACCAGGTTAGGGCTCCCCCTATTAGGGTTTCGCAGAATTTTTTTAGTAGCACCGATGGTACTTGTTCTTTCGAAAGATCGTTGCCTTTTATGGCTGTGACGTAGTGGATGATATGATCTTCTGGGTCTGTAGTACCGTCATATATCTTCATGTATGGTGGCATTTTGAAGGTTTTTGGAATAGCGTGGGGGGCTGCTTCCTCATTGTATGGTTGCACGATGAATCGACCTACATCCCATTTTGGCAACTACTTTGGGGCGCTTGGTATTTTGTCGACCCTTTCTTGATGCTCTTTCATCTGGTCACGGAGTGCCTTATTCTCATTTTTCATTTTCTCCATTTTCTTTAGAACGGCTGCGAGCGTGTCATTACCTGCGTTAACAGTAGTATGAGTGTTACCTATGCGGGGGGCATCTTGTTCGTCAGCGATCATCATGACATCTATGTGTGCGATGTCACTATTCTCCCTTTGAGTGGTTTTATCAAGTATGTTGTTCAGAGTGCTTGTTAGCCACTCTTCCAGTAGTCTTCTTACTGTCGGTGGTGCCTCTCTTGTTGAAGACATGGAGGCTTCTTTTTCGCGCGAAGCAGTTACACTTTCGTGCGGGGGAGGTGAAGCGTCTCTCCTAGGTGTAACGTTTGGTGTCACATTTTAGTTGTCTTCCCTGCCATCTTTGTTGATGGTGTTCAGGATATTGGTTGTGACACCTGCTATCGCTTTTAACCTTGCATCTCCTTTTCCTGCCATTATTAGTTTATGCCAAGCTAGGAAGAGATGACTATCCTTTTTTATGATCTAGATGAAACTAAAATCTTAACTAAAGATCTCCCCACAAACGACGTCAAATTGTTTGATCAAAAGATGTTAAACCCTTCGATTAAACCAATTTTATGGTTGGAAGAACGGTGAATCTCAGTTAAGAATAATAAAATCTAGATCAAGTGATAAAGGAAATAAGCAAGATGAATGATGTTAGCTAATATGTTGGAATCAATTAAATGCTCATAAATGCAACAACTCAAATGCGCAATCGATCTAAATGAATGCAGCCGGCGCAAAAAGGGAATAAGTATGAGATGATTGTGGAATCTTTGGATCTTATCAATATCGTATAATGATATATGTTTTTGTTGTGTAATCAATGAACGAGGCTGCTCTTATATTTACTCTCAGATGAATCTTTTACAAAGTGTTTTTTGTCTTTTGGCAGAGCCCCCTTTCTTTACTAACTCTTCATGTTTATAAGGGACAATCCCCCATGAAACACTAAAAAGTACAATCATAAAGAATATTCGAAAAACATCTTCTTACTGTCTCCTACTAAGTTCACACTACCGTTGACATCTTATTTCGACTGACCGCTCTTGGTCGTCGTCATTCACCACGACGACCATCAGACATTGCGCCGTGATAATCTCATTCCTCGTCTTATTCGGTGACTGTCGTAGTTTCCAAATTTGGACCCATACAAACCTATTCTTTCTTTCCTTATGAAAATTTGAAAAACGTATGCAATCAAAGTGAATATACTGTAGGGAGAGTGAAGAACTGAACAAATGCTTATATTGAAGCTGGAAATGTAAATTATTGCGTTATAATCAGCACTCATGCTGCTGATCGTGTCTTCGGTGAGTCAAGTACAAGAGCTTATTTGTGTGTTTTAAGTGAGTAACTGAAGAAGTGAATAACTGACATTTCGTGTGTTGCTACCCCCATCCTGTTGTTAATAAAGGACTTAACACCATTTCAGTCAAACATTTGGTCACAGAACAAACTCGTATATGAATGTAAAGTTCATACTATGTTGCAACGAGAACTCAATGTTTGGTCGTTACTCATGAGCTTTACAGGTCAGCAAACTTTTAGTTAAGCTACCATGTATACTGGAGTATCTTACAGGGCACTTGTTAAACCAGAGCAGCAAACTCAATTAACCTAAATATCTTGCCAGAATCCATTTAACAAAGCCCCAACAAGCAGACTTTAAGCAACAAACACCTAACTTCACACTTCCTACTACAAGTCTACACTAGTATCAGAGTACTTAAGCAAGGACATGTATAAACTGTGAAAAGCTATCGGATTGACTTAGAACGAGCAACACTGTTATCCTTCAACAATTCAACAACTCTTCTCATGGACGGCCTGTTAATGGGCAATGAAGAAGTGCAAAGCAAAGCCACATCAAAAACCTTTTTAATCTCTGCATAATTGCTTGCAGACGGATTCATTCTCTGGTCGACTAGCTGGTTCAAATCAAGAATACTATTGCTGCCCGTGACACGGCCACTTCCTTCATCTTTTTTAGACGATATTGCAACCTCTAACACCCACTTGACCATGTCCTTGTTCTCACCGAAAGAGGAGTCATTGGGCCTTTTACCGGTTATTAGTTCCAACAGTACCACACCAAAGCTATAAACGTCACTCTTCTCATTAATCTTCAGAGTATACGCATATTCTGCAATTGAGAAAAAAGAATCAGTGTACGTTCAAAGGTGCAGCCTGGAACCCTTGGATAATACAGTTTGGCATCCATAGATATTTAGAAAACTTTAGCACTAACATTACATGTTCATGACCAACATAACAAAATGTTTTCTACACTAGTATCAAGACGCCATCAACTTTTTTCCATCAAAGATGTAGGTCTGTATTTTTCTTACTTTTTCCGTGGAAAGGAGTATGGGCAGTCACAAACCACATAGGATCAACTTTACAAAAGGGATGAAATTGTATGCCTAATGTGGAATTTATGGTAGCAAGTAGAATTTAAGGTGTTACCAAATTTATTTAATAAATAGAGAAATAAGAAATAATAATTTAGGCACATGTTCCTTTCATTTTTAATCTTTGGATCAAATCTTGAATGTGTTGGCAAACACTAGGTGACAGAACACAACTCTCTTATTTTTTTATTCTTTTGATCAAATCTTAACTTTGTTAGCAAACCTTAGGTGACAAAATCATTCAATGATATGATGTGATCTAAGAATTAAATATTACTAGTAGACAATAAATGGTCATGCAGATTTCAGAAACGGAGTGCCCAACCTTTCTTTGATTTTACTTCGAAAAATCTATATTGAAACACAGAATTAAATATTATACAATATACTAATTAGTATGTAGCAAATGTGCAGACTTCAGAAAAGGCGTGCCAGATATTTCTTTGATTTTACTTTGACAAATCCCTAGTCAAACTCAGAAACAAGAATTAGCATGCAATAAATAGAAATTTAGACTTCAGAAACAGAGTTTCCAGCAAGAGTACTGACAGGATACCGCAACAAAATGGAGATTGATAAGCTTTCCGATCTAGTCATAAGTTTGAAACATCTATTCTAATTAAAATCGGGTCTCATATCTTATAAAAGCATCTAAAAATCAAATCAAAAACAATATTTTGAATGTCCTTATATACAGGATGCAGATATTATAGTAAGTATCTTTAACAACAAGTTAACACAGAAATAACAACAACATCGATTAGGTCTCATCTCCAAGCAAGGCAGATATTATAGTAAATATCTTTAACAACAAGTTAACACAGAAATAACAACAACGTCGATTAGGTCTCATCTCCAAGCAAGTATCGTTAACTATATATTATGTTTTTATTCCCTCCCCTTTGATTACCCTTTGATCCTCTTTGTTGGAGCTATTGCTCCTTTGGTGACTCGAACCCACAACCTTGGGGTTGTAGGTGGAAGGTGTTGACCGTCAGAGCAACCCCTCATGTCTATCGTTAGCTATATGAATTCTAACTACTCGTATCACATATTTATGCCTATCTCGGTCCAATATTATAAAAAAGTTAGTTTCTTTAGCACCAGATGCTCTCGATACATTTTCTATTAACATGGAGTATATAATTCGAAGAAGACTAGAGAACTTCTAGCAGTCATTGAACCTATAGCTCAATAACATCAATAAGTTAACAGAAAATAAAAGGTTAAAGGAAAATATATTACCAGGTGCAATGTAGCCGTAGGAACCAGCAATATGGGACATGACTTGATCACTCTCCTCACTGTCCTGCTGCATTACCTTAGCTAGCCCAAAATCAGCAACTTTTGGCCTAAAATCCTCGTCCAACAAAATGTTATTAGACTTGACATCTCTGTGCACTATTGCAGGAACAGAATCATGGTGCAAATAGGCCAATCCTTGAGCTGCTCCAACTGCTATGCCAAATCTCCTTGGCCAATCCAAAAGAATGCCACCTTTTTCCCCATGTAATACATCTCCTAAGCTCCCATTTTCCATGTACTCATACACCAATATCCTGAAGTGGTCACCAATGCCACTGTACAATAGTTTTACTATGTTTCCATGTCGGACTCTCCCTAGAGTCTCCACCTCCGACCTGAAAACCTCCTCAGATTCTCTCTCCCGTTTAGCCTCCCAAAGCTTCTTAACCGCGACCATCTGCCCGTTTTTTAGTTTGACCCTATATACCCGACCAGACCCACCAGCTCCAATGAGATTCTCATTTGTCAGTGAAGCTAACAAGTCTCCCTCCGTGAATCCAACCCGTTGAAATGCAGTAATTCTCCATGCACTTTTACGCTTACTCCGAATGGGTAGCAACTTTTTGGCCTTGATCAAGACCCAAACAAGTGACCCGACAAGTATGACGGATAAAGCTGATAAAATACACACCAAATACAAGCTAATACTTTTGGGTCTTGGGCACTGAGGTAGAGGTTTAAGATCCGGACTACAAAGATCCGGATTGCCCTGCAAACCCGAGATGAAAAAATCATTATCAAACACAAGTGGCACTTTTCCTTCAAGCCTGTTATTTGATACGTTGAACTTGTTAAGCTTGAGGTTGCTCAGCTCCGACGGAATTTCGCCGGAAAGCGAGTTTCCAGCGAGGTCTAAGTACGTCAAAACCGGCAAAGTCCCAAGCTCACCTGGAATTTCACCTGTCAATTGATTGTTAGCTAAATTCAGTTCAGTCAAGTCGGTCCAAGAACTAACTAATTTGGGAATTTGACCCGTGATCCTATTTTCTGAAAGATCAAGCTTTTGTAACGTTTTCATCTTTGTGATACATGAAGGCAAATCTCCTGATAATTGATTCTTGCTTATGTCCATAATCACAATCTCTTCCAAATTGCATAATCCCGCCGGCAATTCCTCGGAGAATTTGTTACCGGAGATGAGAATTTCTGTTAGGCCACGAGCATTGGAGATTGAAGCTGGAATTGAACCTTGAAAGTTGTTGTTTCTCAGTTCAAGAAATGTGTATCCAGCAAAACTCCAGAAACCAGTTGGTAATTCACCAGAGAATTGGTTGTTATAGATACGCACGTACGTTAGTGAATTACACTCCCCATAGGATTCAGGGACTGAACCACTGAACCTATTATCGAACAGGTTCAAAATCCTAAGTTTCTTTCTGGAACATAAATTGGGGGGCAAAGAACCTTCGAGATTATTGCCAGAGACATCAAACTCATCCAAATCTGAACTCATACCAAAATCTTGAGGTAAAGTACCTGAAAATTTGTTGTTAAAGAGCTTGAACTGAGTAAGATTCGGGTTAAGAGCTAAACTTTCTGGAATTTCGCCTTCTAAATTGTTATCATTGAGATTCAAAGATACCAGCGGCAAACGGGCAAGGCTATCAGGTATTTTTCCGGTGAGATTATTCTGAGAAGCGTCAAACCTGAACAGAGAAACAAGTCCCGAAAACGTGTTCGGCAGTTCACCTGAAAATTTATTCTGAAAGAGCTCTATTTGTTCTACGGTTTTCAGCTCTCCAATGCTTTCTGGAATTTTTCCAGTTAGATTGTTAATCGCCACGTCAAAATTCTGAATAGATTTCAGGTCTTTAATGGAATCTGGAATATTTCCAATAAGATTCGCAAACCGAGCATATAGAATTCGAAGTTTACCTAGTCGTCCAATTGAGGAAGGCAATGGACTTGGCTTAAATGGATTTTGAGCAATGACCAATCGAGTCAACTCGGTGAGATTGGATAAGAACTCAGGAACTGAACCATTAAGGAGATTGTTGGCAATATCGAGCTCTTGTAATCTCGGTAACCGGCCTAAGCTCGCCGGAATATCACCGGAGAAATTGTTTGAATTAACATCAAGCACGGTCAAGTTATCAAACTTGGCTATAAACTCCGGCAGCTTGCCAACGAAGAAATTTAAAGAAAGATTCAAAAAGTGCAGATGCGAACATAGGGACCAGGAGTCAGAGGAAATAGAGTCACCGAAACTGTTATCGCCCAGATTGAGTTTCTGCAAAGTCGAAATCCGGCAGAAGTCGGCCGGAAAATGACCTGAGATTCCAAAACTGGTGAACTCGATGGAGACAACCTTATGCGTTTTACGATCACAGGTAATGCCGGTCCAGTTACAAGGCGCATTTGGAGCAGACGCGTTCCAATCAGAGAGCAATCCATTGGGGTCACCGAGCTGACCTGTCTTAACCCGGAGTAAAATGGCGATATCGCGGTTCAAGCAACTAGCCGGAATAATGAATAGAAACAGTTGTATGAGTAGCAGAAATTGGAGTTTCGTGTGTTCCATTGATAATACAATGAAATCTCCCTTACGGGTGAAACTAAGTCCTTAAAAAAGGCAAGAGTTTGTTTTGATGATTAAATCATAAATCACAAAAATCTGAAAATGGAGGTTGGATGGTGAGGAGATAAGAGTTTAAGAGATGGGAAAATTTATGCATGGATTACAAGTGTAACGGAAACAGGGTTTAAGGAGAAGAAAGAGTACTGAGAGTGTAAATGAGTGTTCACACATGAAAAAAGCTACGCTAATTGTTGGACTCTAATGGCGATAACAAGACAGTGTGTTATTGCGACTTAAAGCAGGATGTTATAATCAAGGTTTTGTACACACACATAAATATTCTAAGATTCACCTACAATTTTCAAAATTATCTACTACTTTCTTTATAAAATTTTATGTTAAGTCAAACGATGTTGAGACGAAGACACTAACACTAATTTTGAGCTTCCTATAGTAATCATAAGACAGTTACTATGAATAAGACTGACTCAAAATCTTCAATTTATATTAATAAAGGGAAGAAAGTAATTATATAAAGGGTTATAGTAATTACTTTATTATTGTGGGAGTAAAAGGTGAAGTGATGCTTTTAGTTTCCTTTCTTAGAGTCAACTAAAGAAGAAAAAAGGAGTCAAAAGATAATGTGGCATTTCATATTTGACTAATTTCGTAAGGTTGGGACCTTTATCCAACAAGATTATAAAATTTCTATACCGAGCGAATATAAGGTGTGTTTGGAAATGGGAATGGAATTTTACTAGATGTGGAGTTTGTGGGTTTAATGTAGGGGTGTCAATGGATATTGAAAAATCGACTAAACCGACCGAATCGTACCGTACCAAACTGATTTTTAGGTTTCTTTTAATAAAATCGTAGATTTTTATATAAATTTATAATTGTACCGATAATTAGGGTAGGTTTTTTATTTTATAAAAATAAACCGAAAAAATACTGAACCGTACCGAATAAATTTACATGTGAAAAATATATTTATTATTAAGTTTAAAAATAATAAAACATTAAATTTTTCCATGGATTTTGGAATTATGAAAACAATTACAAGCCAGCAAATAATAAACACAAAATTATAATTCTCAAACCTATTATGCCACTTCCATCGAAAATAAATTATTTTCAGCATATTCACTAGCAAGACACAAGGCATTATAGCAATTATGAGTAGCAAACTACAATGTTTTGATTATATTTCCTTTCGTATGATTTAAGTTTATCTTTTTGAATATTTAATCTTCTATAGACTTTATTTTTCAGTCTCAGTCCCAGTTTGATTAATATCTTTCCACTCGTGTGATTTATATTTTCTTTATATTAATTTGTTTAGTTTCTTTTACGCTATTGTAGAGTAGTTGATGGATCTATACTCTAGCCATCTTTCATATTTTCTTAATTCATCGCCCTTTACAATGTAAAAATGTCTAGAGAGTTTTGCTAAGTCCTATAAAAGTATAGATGTTATTGCATTCTACTTTTACTAGTGACTTTTACATGACTTTTTGAAAAAAATACCGAAAATTAACCGAACCGTACCGATACCAAAGAGAAATCGATATAATTGGGACGATTTCGAAAAGTCTAATTTTGGTTATACATAATGAATAACCGAAAAATTGGTATGGTACAAAATTTACAAAATAACCGACTGGACTGAACCATTGACACCCCTAATCTATGGAGACAGGGGTACGAATTCTTCAAGATTATATTACTTGGGAATCTAGCGACACAATTTTTAACTAAAAAGATCGTCTAGAAAAGTTGTTACGTTGCTTAATTTGAGGCTATAAGATAAATTGAGCATACATACATGGGAAAGAGAAGCACTAAAAATGATGCTAGTTTTATTAGGTTTTCCCTTGTTTTTACTTTATTTTTGCAAGATGTGAAGAAAACTATTAGTATAGAAAATGTGCTTTTTCAGAAATATGAATGCATCAGAGGCGGAGTCATCCTTTTAAGATTTTGGATTATAAATTAATAATTTATATATATTCAATTAATTTTTTAAGACAAATATAGAATTCAAACCAAAGTTACTGAGTTCGGACCAGCATCCGACACTCTAACTCCGCCCCCGAACGTAGGCCTACTATGTTTGAAGTTATTCTTTTTTTTTTTTTGTTGTTGTTGGTAATCCAACGTCCTCGAAAGGATCCACTACTTATAAGTGAGAAACGAGAATTTAATGTTTTCCTTTTTCTATTATATTTTCCAAATATTGTAGAAAAAAATAAAATATTGTATCTGTTTTTTCCCCATGATTATTTCTTCATAAATTTATATGTTTTGTAATTTTGTTCTAGAAAACAACGGAAAATAACTCATCGTTCTTTGGAAGGGAAAATGCATAAGTACCCCTCTGATCTATATTCGGATTTTCAACTACACACTTTTTCTTTACGGGAATCCTATTACCCCCTTAAACTTATTTTAAATGAAATTATTTGCACTCTTAACGCTAACGTGGCAGAGTGTGTGTATTTCACTCTCCTACTCTCCCAAAGGAGAGTGAGAAGCAAGAAAAAATAATTTTCAGATTATTTTTTATTCTTTCTTACCATTTTTTCTTACTTTTTTTTTCCTTTTCCTTTTCCTTTTCCTTTTACTTTGTCTTTTTTCTTTTACTTTTTTTTTCTTCTCTAATTCCGGCGGATATTCATTCACTGGCGACTTTGTCTAACCGTTTTTCTTCCATTTTTTCTTTTCACACACAAATTAAACTCTCAAAAAGATCTATTCATAAGCAAAACAAAATACACTCAGATTTGGGGGAAAAATTCATCATCGAAAAACCTTTCCACGCCGGAAAAAAATGATGTATTAAAATTTTAACTGGAAAAAGTTTTCTCTCCTTATATTCGTTTTTTTTTNGACCACCATTTTATGCCGCCGGTGACCAAAACAAAAAGAAAGAGAATGAAATAACCAAAAAAAATGAGAAAAAATAAGAAATAAGAAAAAATGATAAGAAAAAGAAAAAAGAATAAAAAAAGTACTAAAAATACATGTGGGGGCGCGTGTAGCTCACCACTTGCCAAGAGTTTGGTTGTCTAATTTTAGGGTGCAAATAATTCCATTTAAAATAAGTTTGGGGGGGTAGCAGAATTTCCGTAAAGAAAAAGTGTGTAATTGAAAATCCGGGTATAGGTCAGGGGGTACTTATGCATTTTTCCTTGTTTAGAATGAAAGACCCTAGTCATTTATGCCCAAATGCACAAAAGGGATTAGCCGATCAGCCCACAAAATGGCAATGAGTCTCACATAGTTTTCTAATTTTATCGCTTTTGTTTCACTATTACTGTCACGATCCGGAATTTTCACCATCGGGAGTCGTGATAGCGCCTACTAATGTGAGCTAGGCAAGTCAACCCTTAACTATCTACTACCTTTTTTATATTACTTCTTTTAAAACAAATATAGGGCGACAATATAAATAAAGCGGAAGTTAGGAAATAGGCGGAAGTCAACATTTATAAAGCTTAGAGTTACGTCTATTACCACTTTTAAGTTTCCGTACCCCAAAATCTGGTGTCACAGTACCACAGACTGTCTAAGAGTCACTACATACAAAAATACATAGTGTTGTTCCTGCGCAAGAGATAAAGGAAACAGGAAATAGAGATAGAGGGAGACGCCAGGGCTCGCGGATATCTACAGGTCTACCTTGGGTCTCCGGATGGACTGAAGGAAGGCCTCCAACTACTGTCTGAAATCTGCTCCGGGATCTGCACACAGTGCAGAGTGTAGTATCAGCACAACCGACCCCATGTGCTGGTAAGTGCCTGGCCTAACCTCGGCGAAGTAGTAACGAGGCTAGGACCAGACTCCAGATAAACATGTGCAGTTATATTATATATGGCGGAAAAGTAAATAGGTAATAAGCAATTAAAGCTGGGAAGGGAAACATGCCTCGGGGATACCTGATAAAGCAAAATAGCAAGGAATAAATAAGGAAGCTGACAATATAACTTCTAACACAGATAAAGAAAAGTAAAAACAACTTTCACTTTCAGTTTCCATCTTGTTATAGGCGTGCAACCCGATCCCATTTCTCATATCTTGTGGTAGGCATACCACCCGCTCCCATTTCATAATATCTTGTCGTAGGCATATCACCCACTCCCATTTCATAATACCTTGTGGTAGGCGTACTACCCGGTCCCATTTCATAATATCTTACAATTTCAAGGAATCCCAGCAACGGAAAATAATCAATATAATAACTTCCCGGCAAGGGAACACAACAATGTAATAATTTTTCCGGCAAGGGAACAACAATATTTAAATAGTCATTCCGGCAAGGGAGAATCAGCTATAACCAATCTCAACTTAGCTTGTACTCAGTTCAATTATTGAAAATGCTAAATCATAGAAGGTCATTAAGTAAAGCACCCAAGTGTCATTTAAGAACACACCAACTTTCAATTTAAGACTCACGGTCATGCTTGACACCAACGTATAGATACTCGTCACCATGCCTATACGTCGTACTCAACAAGAAACAAGCAGCAAATATGACTCAACTCCTAATCCCTTAAGCTAGGGCTAGACCAAACACTTACCTTGATGCCTTGATCACCACTCAAGTCTCAACATTATCTTTACCCCTTGATTCCACCACCAATCCGCTCGAATCTAGTCACAAGTTACTTAATTACATCAATAAGTGCTAAATGAATCAACCCCAATGCATGAAAATGAGTTTTCCCAATGTTTTACCCAAAAAGTCAAAATCACCCCCGGGCCCATGTGGTCGAAACTCGATGTTCGGACTAAAACCTGGTTACCCATTCCCTCACGAACCCAAATATATTATTTATTTTGAAATCGGACCTCAAATTGAGGTCCAAATCCCCAATTTTAGAAAAACCTAGGTTCTACCCAAAACACCCAATTTCCCCATGAAAATCTTTGATTTGAAGTTGAAATCATGTTGAAAGATGTTAAGGAGTGAAGAAAATGAGTTAGAAATCACGTACCAACGTTTTGGAGAAGAAAGGTTGGTTGAAAAATCGTCTCTTATGTTTTTGGGGTTTTGAAAAGTGAAAAATAACTGAAATTCCCGTTTATTTATACCCCTCTCAGACCCTCTATGCGGACCGCTTCAAATGGACCGCGGCCGCACAGGCCTCCCTGAAGACCTGCAATTCAGCACCTTGTGCGGACCGCACAAAGGCGACTGCGGCCGCATAGCCTCTACCGCGGACCGCACAAAGGCG